TACATACATACATACATACACACACATACACACACACACATACATACATATATATATATAAACATAATATATATATATATATATAAATATATAAATATATATATAAATTTATTACACATATATATATACCTGCGTTATCCGGTCAGGCCTGGACTTCGTCTGCAATTGGTTTCAAAATACCACGGAGCGGGGATGAGTAGTAACAAATGATTAGCTTAGAGCGTGTTCCTTGGATGGCTCATGACACTAACATCAACTAAACTCAAGGAGGCGGGAAGCATGGGGGTTCAGTCATTCACAAAGTAAGAACGGATACATGCGTACAACAAAGCCACCTCTGCAATAGTAGTAGTCACCCCAATAGGCTTAAAGCGACGTGCACGTGTTGTTATGCCGAGTGATAGAGCTTCGCATATTATATGGTGAGTGGCACTTCCCGTAATAATCTAAGCGAATTCTCGGCTGCTACGAAGGTGTATGTGTGCTTGCTCTGATGAAACGTATGTGCGGGCCGGAATCTCGAGAGTGGTCTAGTAGATGTTGCTTCGGTATGCGAATGAATGCTCTACAGCCAGCTGTTATTATGCCCTTTGTTCCTTAGACCCACGCCAATGCTTATAATTTTGGGTCTCAGGGGATGGTCTCGCTCTGCGCACCAGGCCGAATATTTTAGGCACGAATGAGAAACGCTTTGTACAATTTAAAAATAGAACTTTAAACTTTTAGTACATAAATCATGAACTATACACCTCACATGGGCATTAGAAGGTGACCTGGCAAGCTGTACAAGGGTAACTAGGCAACCACATGTTCATTTAAAATCAGACACATAATATGCATCACATGTTACAAGCTACACATAAGAAAATATGCATCAATGCACACACACACACACACACACACATATATATATGTCAGTACAAGTCATATATAGCAATACACCCACATATACATATGCATATATATATATATATATATACATACATCAGTATGAATCATATATAGCAATGCACTCATATATACATATATATACATTAGTACAAACTATGCATACAAATACACACACGTCAGTATAAACTACGCACAACAATACACCCACACATACATTTATATACATCATGTACAACAATACACTCACACATACGTGTATATACATCATGCACAACAAAGCACCTACATATAAATACATATACGCCAGTGCAAACACAGACACGCACACATACACAGACACGCACACATACACAGACAGACACAGACACAGACATATATATCTCAGTACAAGCCCTTTACAAATATTCCATGTCTCACATACTCGCCAGAACTGTCCCCACGCAATGAAGAAGCGCTGCGACGGTGTTAAGCCATCGATTTCCTGCGGAAACAACATGTCAAACGATTAACCATCAGTACGCATTCTTACAGTGTAGCGTAGTGTAACACTCATAACCCTCAGTACACACTCTTACAGTGTAGTGTAGTGTAACACTTGATTAACCATCAGTACGCATTCTTACAGTGTAGCGTAGTGTAACACTCATAACCATCAGTACACACTCTTACAGTGTAGTGTAGTGTAACACTCGATTAACCATCAGTACGCATTCTTACAGTGTAGCGTAGTGTAACACTCATAACCATCAGTACACACTCTTAAAGTGTAGCGTAGTGTAACACTCGATTAACCATCAGTACGCATTCTTACAGTGTAGCGTAGGGGTAACACTCGATTAACCATCAGTACGCACTCTTACAGTGTAGCGTAGTGTAACACTCGATTATCCATCAGTACGCACTCTTACAGTGTAGCGTAGTGTAACACTCGATTAACCATCAGTACGTACTCTTACGGTGTAGCGTAGTGTAACACTCGATTAACCATCAGTACGCACTCTTACAGTGTAGCGTAGTGTAACACTGTATAGGTGCTTAGATGCTTCCTCTGTGTCTGGACGAACACTCCACGGTGCAAATAGCTATGTAATGAATGTTAGTGTATATATATAGAGAGAGCAGTTCTCAGCTATGGCTCATTGTTGGTTGGTGGTGTGGTGTCCCGGCCAAGCGAAGCGAGTATGGGTAGATGAACGCATACGCGTGTGAACACTCCCACGATACGCTGTAGGGAGTATTCAATATAGTCTACCTGAGTAGTATGTTCATATGTTGTACTACTAATGCAGTACAAACCACAACTCTCAAGCACCTATGCATTATTAGCATTTGCCACATCTGGGGTACTGGCTGGGATATAATGTATCGCGAACGGTGGTATCCGCCCACACTCCAGCTGGCATGCACCTTCTCAGTTTAGGTAGCATGTATATGAATATTTGCATATATATATATATATATATATATATATATATACACACACACCACTCGACG